CGTGTCTACCTTTCAAAGTATATCGAATGGAGTAAGCGAAAGAAAAAGCAAATAGAAGCGAACAGCATGAAACACGTACCCTCAAGAACATCTCGAGAAACGTTGAACTTCGAGGTTCGTCATTGTCCAACCGAAGCTGAAGAAGACAAGAGTCCTGGACGGAATTAAGGTGACCTGAATGAAGACGAATGTTTGAGTATTGTTTTGTAATCTTGTTTTCATTTGTGCGAAGATTGGAGAAAATGTTGAGTGCGATTTGTTCTGGAAGAAGCGAAGAGCTACAGGTTGACAAGAGTTATTTTGAGATCTTTGCAGTCCTGGAGTGCTAGAGGAAACGCAGGATGTCGGAGAGCTTCCGAGAGTTCTACAGCGAAAAGTTCAAGTAATTTTGTAATCTTGTTTTCCATTTGTGAGGTGACTGGAGTTGAAGAGATTGAATGCGATTCTTTGGAGAAAGTCCGAGGAGCAGAGCCGGGGTCGAAGTTTCGCTGACGAGTTCGTAATGTTGTTTTCATTTTATGAGATGCACTGGGACTGGAAATATTTGGGCGTGACTTTTCTTGAAGTTCCGGAGGAAGCTTCGGTCCATCGATGGTATCGCAATCTTATTTTTTATTCGCGAGGTGAACGCGAGAAAACAACTTTTCCCGGAAGTTTTTGGGAAAACGTCGAAAGTTGGAGGTTTATGGATGATTTTGTAATCTTGTTTGTGCTGGAGGTAACTCTTCGGGATGTTCCGCGGGAAAAATGGAATGGAGGATCCGTTGGTTATATTGTAATCTTGTTTCCGTTTATGAGATGATTGGAAACGGAGGATATTAGAGCTGATTCTTCCTGAAATTCTGGAAGAAAAATGGAACTCGAGGTTATCACGGATTATTTATCATTTCTTAGTCTTGTTTCTGTTTGTTCGGGTACGATGTTGAAATTCCGGCGGATTATTTTGTAATCATGTTTCCGTTGGTGAGTTAATTGGGGACACTGAGTATTCTGGACAGACTTCTTGGCACAAGGTCGAAGATTTCATTTGTCTTTCTGTTGCTTGGAGGCATTACGTGCTGTATTGAAACGGTGTACCTGAAGAAGCTTCGGATTAAAGAGGAAGCTTTGCAGATTGTGCTTTTATTTTGTTCGAAAGAGTACTAAGAATATTGGAGATGTTGGAGACTGAAGATCGAAGTAACACATTGCACTCGTTCTTTGTTTTTGAACGAACTGTGTTTTTATTTTACGGTGATACTGAAGAAGCTTGATGATCTCGTTTCGAAGCCAAGAAATGAACCAAGATAAAGAAAACATTGAAAAACGAAGAACACCGAAACGAAAAGCAGAAAAGAATGATCTAAGTCAATCAAACAAATAAAATTGCGAAATAATAAAGCAAAGAGAGAGTATTCTAAGTGGAACTATTACTCACGTTGGAGATAGAAAGAACGATGAAACGACGAAGAAAGAAAGCATCCAATTTACTCGTACAACAAATTAAAAGAAGAAGATATATCTATAAAGTGCTAAGAATATTGAATATATTATAAATTTAATTGTAATCCGCGTCGAAGAAGGAAAAATGGGACGTCGTGCAAAAAGGAGGATAACGCAATTCACTGAATTGCACGTTGAAGGATTAAACTCGGATGAGACGACGGGCAAAAAGAACAATGGAGGATGTTTTAACTTGATTATCGCGCGGATTGAAGAACGGGAAAGAATGACGTGATAAGCGGACGGTGGACGGTCTAATTTAGTTATCGATCCTGATTTCGAGATCCTTTTTTAGAGAAGCGAGTGGCAGAGCGATCGATTGACAGCCGAGGCGTGCCCCGAAGACATGGTTGAGGTTCTTTCTCTCTCCGGTTTCTGGGCAGAACGAGGACTGGAGAGGAAACGAAGCGGCGACGCTGTTCCAGCTTTCGATTTTTAATTATCGCCGCGTTGTTGCGTTCAGCCATGACGACGGGGACAGGTTCGGAGACTGCTCGCTCGCCGGCTAGGTGGGAGGACCTCGGCGGTATGAAAGTTCCATGATCGGTTGGACGGTGGTGTATTGACGTCGTGTCGAGGCCAGCTGGATTTCCACGATTTCACGAACGGGATCCACCAGAACGTAAGGGAATAAATAGTTGTTTCTATACTTGTACGCTACTCGCGACGGACCGCTTAAGCGGCACGGCGGCCATATTTTCGGCGCGCGAGCCATGGACTATGTTCGTGTTCTGCAAACCCGTTTGATCGTTACTTTCGGTGAAATGAAAAAATTGTTTGAGTAGGAATGGAGAACATTGGAACTTGACTTTTGAAGATTGGAAAATTCAAAATTGCATGATTGTTTATTGCGATGGGAAAATTTGATTACTGTTTTGCTATGTTGTTTATGAGGAAGTAGCAGAATTTAGAATATTGAGAAGATGTTCTTTAAGCTTTAGAATATTCAAGTAATCATCTTATCTTTTTTATTAGTAATAATTGTTTGATTTGTAAGCGTTTCGCGGGATAAAGATCCGATAGAGAATGAAATGAAACGTTAAAGAATATTGGAAAAGGGCGTCGTTATTCAATTTCACTATTAATTACTTCCATTATTTTCAATTTCAAATACATTTATTGCGATTCAATTGCCAGGAAATTAATTCGATCGATTATTCGGCTCCATTGCGAATTGAAACGAAAATTCTCGTTTTATAATTCGCGAAGTTCGCGAGTAAGACGCGCCGTTTAAGTGGTTCCTCCAGCGTCGAGTGGCTAAAAGAAAATAAGAAAACGCAGAAAAAAATAAAAAGTAAAGCGTAACTCGTTGTTTCAAACATCGAGTGCTCCCCGGTGGAATCCTTAAACAGTTCGCGCAACGGATGAATTGTTTTTTTCGTTGGTGGACGGGTGGAGGGCAAATTGTTTAAGCGATCCGTTTCCATCGTCGAGCAAATCGATGACGGCGCACTTGTACCTGTGTCAAACGCAAAATGTATATCGTTTTTTCTCGACGACACTTGAATGTCGAAGAGTCCGACAGAACACACTACCCTATAGATCTCGCGCGTCATGTCCTTCCCGCGTTTCAACCCCCTCGCCGCAGAAGCAATCGTGGCAAACATTTTTCCGCGCAAACTGTCTGTCCGATTCTGTCAAAATTCATCTGTCACTCTATGAAAAAGCAACAAATAAAAATAGAAACGAAATAGAACGAAATATGAACACTGATAAACTCATCGGGTAAATTGTTTCGATTGACGAATGCCAGGCGAACAAATAGTTTCATTGAAATAGTATTTCGGTTTGTGTAACAGTTACTTGGCAAAACAATTACTCACGGTATATTCATGTTTCTCTATTAACCACATTCTAGGAGAGAGATACTATACGAGATATTCTTTTTTCAAAAATATTAATGGTATAAAACATCCATCGAGAAAAACTTTCATTATCCACGAATTTAGGGAACGATCATTTTAAGGGTAATCGTTTCCGTAGTTTTAATTAATGTGCTAAATCAGTGTACAGGGCAAGGAATTTTATGCAGATTAACGCGAACCAAGGGAACTGAGGCAAATGGAATTTCAGAGGGACCCTTAAGAGCTTACGTTGAATTCGCAATTTTGAAATAACCCGCTCTCGGACCGGCTTACCGATACACCGAAAATCCGGGCACTCATCAATTTCGCCGTTGAAAACTCCCCGACGGTTCTCGACGGGACGTTTTCGGGAATTTTCCGTGTCACGCCCCATTATTCGGACCAACAAACCGACATATCGCCCCGAAGTAGAAAAGGGGGAAAGAATGATTAACGTGTCTCGGCGATGGGGTTGACAAACTCGACTTCTTTTCACCGCCATTCATCATCGATAGCGTTGCCCTATCACGACAGCGAGTTACATCATCCGCGAGCTCTTTCTCGCGGTACGGCGAACACTGATTCGACGTATCGTTTTCCTTCACATTCGTCTCTTTGTTTTCGCGCGAACGATCGTTTATCAAAGAACCGCGAATTTTATGCGTTCGTTGTGACGTGAACGATTTTTATTTGTCTGGAAGAGCTTCGTCTCATATTCATTTATAAAAATTCTTCATTTATTTACGATTGTTTCTGAGATTTTAAATTCAACGCCTTGTCCTATGATTTCTTTTACAACTGAGCTTAATGAAACTACTTTATCGTTAACAATTTAGTAGAAAAACGAAAGAACTTGATGTTTATTCTGTGTCTGTGCTTGATTTTATCTAAAGATTGAAGATTGATAATAGACGAGTGATATTCATATTAAAAATAAGTAAAAAGGTAACGTTTAGATTTGTCGAATTCGATTGAAAATTTTCATCTGACACAATATTATAGGAGAAGGGGTTAACGTTCGTAAAATTATTATTGAAATTCTTAATGAAATTTGTATTTTATCGAGCATGGAATTTTTATTCAAATGTTTGTTTCTTTTCTTTCGTTTCTGTGATTTGT